GAAAAGGATCCAAAATTTATTATTTTTTACAAAGCTCATGATATTTAACCCAATATCATGGTTTTTAAACATTTGGGGTTGGCCAGACGGCACCAGGGCAGGGGTGGCTCAGAGAGGACTGGGAGATTGTCTCCCCCAGACACAAGTGAGCAGTGGGAAGCTGGGAAATAGAAATGCAACATTCCTCCCTGGGCCATGACTCCAAACTGAAAACCCATCCCTACTCGGAGTCCCCCAAACCATATAAAAAACAGCTGACGTTGGCCCCTCTTTCTAGACGCAGAGATGTCCAAGGAGCTGGAGCAGATGCGGACTGATCAATCCGTGCTCAGAGCCAATGGTAAGAATTCAGCTTACTCCCAGATGTCTGTTTGTTGGTATTACTTTTGTTACCCTTTTGGCCCAAGAGAAAAGCTGAGGACTTGCTGGGTTTCTTCCCATTAGGTGGAGCAAACGCTGCTCTCAGGCAGGTTTGTTCTCATCGTGACTTTGTTTAGTTGCCTGGGGTCCTGTTCCACTGAGCAGGACAGGAACTAACAGCAGCAGCCAGGTTCCTTGCTCAGAAATCCCCACAGCTGCCCCTCCAGTGAGCTCTGTGCACAGGGAGCTCTGTCTCCACTTCCTCCCAGGGTCCCACTCACAGTTCCTTCGGCCTTCCACCCATACAGCTGGCAGCCGGTTTCCTAGCACCTGGGGCTGCAACCAGTGACACCCTCAGGCCGGCCCACCTCAGCTCTGACCTGCCATGCAGCCTGGTGCTTTGGGCAGTCACCTCCACTGTCTGCATCTATTTCACGGCATACAGGGGCTTGATTGCTCCTCTCGCACTTGGTACCCATTGGCTTTAACGAGGTCTGTCATTGTCTGTGGATCCCACATGAGGGCAGTCAACAGCACCCTCCAGCATAACACTATTAGGTGTATTACGGTAGCAGCTAGGAGCCCCAATCACAGCCCAGACACCCATTGTGCTGGGCCCTGCACAAATACAGAACAAATCTACAGTCTCTGCCCCAAAGAGCTTCCGACCTAAGTATTAGACCAGGGACAAGAGGTGGAGACAGGCAAACAGATGGGGGAGCACAAGGGAACAGGACCGTACCAAGCCTCTGAGTGTTTTGGTTGCACTCCAATTCACTGATTAATGATCTGAGCCTGTTGAGCATGAAGGAAAGACTCCCATGATCGTGACTGGCGTTTGGATCAGGCTTTATTTAGCTAAGAGCCCGTCTGCAGCAGGGAAATGTACACCTGGTAGCTCACAAACCCGGGAATGTTAGGGCCAGAAGAGACTGTTCGGAGCATCTGTTCTGACCTCCTGCAGAACCCAGACCAGAGGAGGCCACCCAGCGATTCCATATTGGGTGGTTGAGTATAGCGGTGCTTTACGGGAGAGAGGCCCAATCTGTTAAAGGCTCCGACTGATGGAAAATCCGCCCTGTCGCTGGAGACTTTGTCCCGATGGTTAAACGGTGATACAAACCCGTTCATGTAGACGCGCTTCATTGGTGCAAAACAGGACTCACTGCAGTGCGTCTCATGCTGGCGAATTACAAAAGGGAATGGCATTCTGCAAGCCCCGTGCCGTGTGCCGACACTAGAGATTTGCACCAGGGTATGGAGACACTAGTGCAAATGTCCCTAGGCTAGAGGGCTGGTCAGTTCTCTTGCTGTTGCTCGGACAGCATAGAGGTGACTGAAGGCATTCTGGGCCTCCCTGATGTTCTGCCCTGAGCCAAAGCTGCACTTTACGAGGTAGGATACCGGTAAGGGACGGGTCTCTGACACCGTCCAGCTGTCGTGTTTTAGGTCTCCCATCCAGCTTTCCTCGAGTCACAGAGAGTCTCTCAGGGAAGTTGGCAGGACTTCGGAGCAGATGGCCATGGCGCCTGAGAGAGGATTGGGCGACCGTCTAGTAGAGCAGGACCTGATTCGTTAGAAAGCAGATCCCTTCATTCGACTTGCATCCCAGGCACTTGATGCTTTTGATCATTTGAAGACGCTTCATCTGAATGGTGTCCAATTTCTTGCCAGTCTTGATGGTGCGGGGCCACATTTCAGTCCCAGTGGCACCGCCGCTCTGTAGAGACTCAGCTTCGTCTCTCGACTTTTCAGGGCGTTCCGTTTGCAAAGGACGTTCTTGATGAGGTGCCCCATTACTCACTAGTCTAGGGGGGACCCTAACTAATCCCACTAGCTGGCTCTCCCCTAGGCAGGGCTGGTCGACAGCCGTGGGTCTGGGGGAATGAGCACAGGGCAGGGAGTCAGGGGGCCCTGAGTTCTAACCTTGCCTCACTGCCTGGCCTGGGGCAATTCACTCCCACCTTAATGACCATCAGGGCAAATCCACCCACATGCAACCTCCTTCAGGGAAGGAAACCAGCCTGGGCGGCCCTCGTAGACTCGCTCTGCTGGGGAACACGGTCCTTCCCCACGAGACAAGTGAGGGGGAGACAGATGGTTCCCAGCTCACCAGGCTCTGTCTCTTCCAGGCTCCGAGATGTCGAAGCAACTGGGGACGCTTCATTTCAATCAATCCACCATGCGCAACACTGGTATGTACCCGAGTCCTCATGATCCACAGCCTGATGTCCCCTCTATGACTCCCCTGCACCTCTCATCTCACCCCTTTGGCCTTCCTCCCTTCTCCTCCTCACAAGCCCCTCCCTACCCCATTCCCCATTTCCTGCCCAATCTCCACCCTTCCCTGCTCCCGCTCAGCCCCAGTCCCCGAGATTCCCCAGGAGTGTGATGGGCTTTGTTTCTGTCTCTCAGGGGAGGAGCTGGCCAAGGAGCTGGAGAGGCTGCAGTTGGACCAGGCCACGCTGAGAGCGGAAGGTGAGGGTAGGCAGGGGTGTGGAGCAGGGCTCAGGCGGAGGAAGTGGGGGGGAAACAGCAGCGGGAAGCTGAGATGGGGCTGCAGAATCCCAGCCCTGGGTGGCCATGGCAATCTGGGATCCCCCCCACATCGGATCCAGCCTGAGCGAGTGACATTTGTGATTCATTCCCTGAGATGAAGGCACCAAGGCAGGAAACCCAGGGCCAAGCCCCACCCTTGTGGACCCCAGCGGGGACGCAGCCAATACCCCCGGAGCCTGTGCTCTGGGCTCTGTGTGCACCAGGGGCCCCATTCTGAATGGGGGGGGGAAGCTGATTAACCCTTTGGTGCCGGGGATTCTCACCCCAGTGTGTTCCCATTTTGGCCTTCAGGGAACAGTCTGGGCTGGGCTGCTACAGAGAGGCTAATTTCTTGCTCCCCAAAATTATTTGGGGAAAAGCTGGGAGGAGATGGGGGATGGGGACCCATTAGGGGCCGAGGTGAGGCAGGTAGATTCAAGGGCATGGCAGAAAGAGGAGACCCTCGTGTAATAAGCTCGGGGTGTTGGGGAGCCAGGGGTAGGGAACTGGGGGGGCAGGGCAGTGGGGAAAAGGGCAGAGGTCCTGCTGGGGTTTAAGGAGAGAGAAGGGGCAGGGTTGAGCTGAATAAATTTGACCCTGGTGAAAAGTTGGGATCCTGCTGGAGTGTTCGGCCGGGTCTCCAGTCCCTAAAGACTGTATCGGACCGACTGTAACAAGCTCAGTGCCTCCCGCTGCTGAGAAAGGGGCCCTGTTTCAGTGTCACAGCCAGGCCCCAAATCCCGGTGTTTACGGTCTGTACACAGACACGCCAGGCCGAGCTGCACACACCTGTGGCCCAGGCTAACGTCTGGCGGCTTTGGACACACAGAACATGGTGAGCGCCACTTGAGGCTCCCAAACTATTTAAAGGGATGGGACCCCATTCCCATACACGATGGCGTGTTGTGTTTCCAGTGTTCAGGGATCTAGCCAAAGCAAAACAAGACAGAGATGACATCAGGGCCGAGACCTACAAGATCCTGGATGCCGCACAGAAAGGGAATGGTGAGATACACGCCAGCCTCGGCTCGCTCTTTCCGGCAGGGGGACCGTTTTCTGTTCTGCGTCTGTACAGCGCCTGGCACAACGGGGCCAGATTGGGGGGGGCTATGGCAATAGAGATAATAACACTGAGTAATACTAAGCCCTTCGCGAACGTTGGGGGCCTTCATATTCATCGAAGCCATAGGGAGGGGAGTCTGTAGGGGGCGCTCTTCCCTCACTGTCAATGCTGACCTCAATCCCCCAGCGTGATCCTAGGGGGCGCTCTTCCCTCGGAGTTATATGAAGGATTGGGCTGTAAGAGTCCGTTTAATGTTTCCAGCTGCATATTAAGCAAAGTCTCTATCATATCTACCCATCCATCTCTCTCTTCTGATTAGCTAAGTGTCTAAAACCCTGCTGGCAAGCTCAGAGTAAATAGTGATTTTGTTCCATCAGGAAGTGACTCAGGATTTCCTCCATATTTAGAGGAAGCATAAAGTGGGTGAATAACATTCTCCCAGTGACCTTTC